TCGACCTCCGCGTGGCGAAGCTGCATCTGCAAGTGACAAGCGGAAGCGCTCAAAGATCAACAGCAAGAGTGGAAAGGTGGCTGCGGCGCACGAAGCTAGTGCCCAGAACAGTCACAGCCTCGAGGATGGGCGCGCTGTTCAAATTCAGGACGAAGCCCTGGTCAGTGATGCCGAATCACACGACAGCGACTCGTCCGCCTCCGAACTAGCCTTTGAGTCACCACTTCCGATTCAGCAAGCTTGGGATCACGCTCACCGACCCATCCCTGCCGCCGGTGCGCCCATGACTTCTGCGCGCAGACGTAGAGCTACGGATGCTGGCTTTACACCTGGACCCGAGGGTCACGGTGAAGAATCGATGCACGCTTGTGGACACTCACATCCACCTGGAGGCCACGCACCAGGTGTGCAGTATCCTGGAGCAGCTCATCATTACGGCTACCGCCACGAGCCACTTGCTTCGATCCAAAAGACTCTGACCAGCAAAGGCGATCACGTCGCTCGCAGCGAAGCGCCCAGACTCCCTCCGACTTGCCTTCCTTGGAGCTCGCAAGGCGCGTTGCAGCACTCCTACCGCCAGCCAAGCTACCATCGAGCCTTGCCTCACCTCTGGGCTCTACCAGCACCTTCTCAACCTCTCGCCTCTCCAGCAAGCGCTTCTTGGCCAAACGCAAGCGGGGGTTCCAGAGCAGATGGCGCCGAATCTCCACGATGCTCTGCAGACAGCTCTTTTCCTTCGTCTAGGATTCACTTGGCTCCCATCCGCGCGGTTAGAACGATTCGTGACGATTTCGAGCGTGGGAACCGATGCGAAGGGCCGCCGGTATTTCACAGACCTCGATCGCTCTCCCCGACCAGGCCCATTAGCGACCTTCAAGAGCGTCGCAGCCCGCACTTCGACGCGCGCGCTCTCCCAAGCATTCGACATCTGAACATTGAGCAATGCCGCCACCTCGATCAGCAGGCACGATGCGTCGATGAAGATGCACAGCCACAGCTCGAGCCTGCGAACAACACGTCTGCCCACGTGCAGAAAAGGGCGTCGACGATGAGCTGTTCTCCCTCTTTCCCTTCATCGATGCACGAATCGCCCAACACTTCTCCCAAATCCCCTTCCTCCTCTTCCGCCGCGTCAGGCTCCAAATCCGCCAGTACTGGATTGGACATGTTGGCGGCCGCTGTGAGCGGGGAGAGGAGGCAGACATCGACAGAGCTCAGAGAGCTTGGCCATCCGAAACTCGCCAAGCAGCGCCCGAGGAAAGATCCTTTGCTTGCGCGTCGAGTTCTCTGATGCCACAAAAAAAAAAAAAAAAAAAAAAAAAAAAAAAGGGCATCG